CAGAATCCTGGAAGACATTCAGAGACGGGGGACGGTGGGGTGACCTGGGTAGACTGGGGACAGGATGGATGGAAAGTTTTCATCAGACTGCTATTACTGTTTTTGGGAATCCTGTGAATACATTAGCAATTCAGAGAAAAATAAGTTTAAAAAAAAAGAAGTAGCATGCCAATATAGAAACATTTCCAAGATATATTAAGTGAAAAAGCCGAGGTCTAAAACTGTGTGATGTGCCCTTAGCAGTGAATTAAAAATAAAGAAAAGCACCCTCCTCCGTCTGTTGGTCTGATGTCACGTGAGGAGACAGACCTACGGAATTCGCCATGGAGGGATTCCTGGGGAGGGCCACTGGCGGGCAGGGAGCAAAGACTTGCTCTTCATTGGGTGCTTTTGTTTCTTTTGAATTTTGTCTCAATTGCATGCACTGCTCACCCAAGAAAGTAACATAATTAATACAGTAAGTAAGGGGGTTAAGAATGCTTTAGAGGACCTGCAGGGATGTTCTCAGACCAGTGACACAGTGTGAAAAACGAGATGCAGAAGAGCAGCACATGAAAGATTCAATCTTAAAAACAATTAAATTTGGGCCCCTGGGTGGCCCAGTAGGTAAGCGTCTGCCTTTGGCTCAGGTCATGATCCCAGAGTCCTGGGATCGAGCCCCGCATCAGGCTCCCTGCTCAGGGGAGAGCCTGCTTCTCCCTCTCCCACACCCCCTGCTTGTGTTCCTTCTCTCGCTTTGCCTCTGTCAAAATATAAATCTTAAAAAAAAAATTAAATGTATGATATGATGACATGTCAATCAGACCTCAAAAAAGCTGTTAGCTAACACCACAGAGGAGCCCCTGGATGTGTGTGAGAGTCACATGTGGCAGTGGCAGGATACATATTAGGGTGGGAAGCTGGGTAGGGTAGAGAGGTGGGAGGCTGATGTGGGGGCAAGAAGCAGCAGCTAGGGGAAAAGGAAAGAATCACCTTTAAAAAAAAATGTGTGTGGGGGGTGCCTGGGTGGCGCAGTTGGTTGAGTGGCCGACTCTTGGTTTCAGCTTGGGTCATGATCTCAGATCGTGAGATCGAGCCCCACCTCCGTGCTCAGCGCAGAGTCGGCTTGAAGCTCTCTCTCCCTCTGCCCTTCCCCCCCCAATTAAATAAAATAAGTATACACACACACACACACACACACACACGGATAAACCACCACTTAACTGTGCTCTAAGTGCCCACGCCCCTCTCCTAAGCACGAAGCCAGCAATCCTCACTGCATCTCACCAGGAGGTAAACACTGGTGTCACCTCCAGCTTCCAGAGCAGGACACCAGGTACAGTGGGATGACATTTTGGAAGTGGCAGATCCCGTGTTCAAATCCAGGTCTATCTGCCTCTCTGGGCTCGGCACTTCCTGTTCTTGTTCTGATTCTCGAGAAGAAACTGAGCCTCAGAGTGCAAAGACTTATTCCTGGTCACATAACAGCTTGTGGCAAAAACATTCTAGACTTACGCTTTGCCACACTACTTCCCAAATGCTAACTGAAGGCTGCAGCTTATATGTTTACTGAGCATCTATCATCTTAGCTACTGAGCCAAGTACTCTTCCTACAGAAATACTTAACCCTCACAACTGTCCTACGAGGGATATTTTCATGATGCTCATTTTGCAGACAAGGAAACTGAGGCCCGGAGAGGAATAACCACTTGCTGTTCCCTCTGGCCAAAACACTCGGACCCTAGCTTGCTCCTTCATCGTATTTAGGTCTGTTCATCATTGCCTCTTCCTATGGGGCGTCTTGCGCTCCAGTCTAGGACAGCACCTCCTTCCCAGCACTCCATACTCTTACTTGGCTTTTCTTTCTTTCTTTTTTTTTTTTTTTTTAAGATTGTATTCATTCAAGATAGAGAGCGAGCAAGAGAGAGCATGAACTGGGTCGGGGCAGAGGGAGAGGGAGAAGCAGACTCCCCACTGAGCAGAGACCCTGACGTGGGGCTCAATCCCAGGGCCCCAGGATCGAAAGCAGATACCCACTGAGTCACCCAGGTGCCCTTGGCTTTACATTTCTTATGACAAGTTATTTATGTGCTTGCTGTCAGCTTCCCTACCGACAGCAATAAGCTCTCTTGAGTATAGGACCCATCTTTGTTTGTCACTGCTGTGTCCCTAGAGCCTAAAAAAAAGTACTGGGCATGGGTACTCTATGTTGTAACTGCAAACACTGATTAAGAGCTTCCTGTGTGCCAGATGCTGTACTTCTAATGACTGTATTACACGTCAAATGTATTAAGTCACTGAATTTCTGCAACCACCAGGACTAGTGCCACTGTATGGAAGAGATAAAGTTACTTGCTGAAGGTTGCCTGGCTGCTAAGTGGCAGAGCTGGAAAATGAATCCAGGAAGCCTGGCTCCCAAGTACATGCCCAGCACTACTGTACTGCACAGCTGGAGGGACCACACGATACTGTCACACCTTGAGGCCTGAAGGCGCTTATGCCCCAGGACTCTGAAAACCTTGTATTCAGGCTCCTCACACTGGAGCTAGGACCACATCTCCAGGCTTGGACAGAACACCTTCCAGGATCCAGGTGCTCACCTGTCGAAGGCCTTCACGCGGCCCAGGAGCTTCTTGTTGTTGCGGCAGTTGATGAGCACCTGGGTGTTGTTCTTGACTGACTGCGTGAGCACAGAGAGCGGACCTGTGTTGAACTCTTCTTCCTCCCGCTTCTGCAGCTCCTCTGGGGTCATCTCACTCTTGGGCTTGTTGAGGAGGCTCCTGAGTGGGCAAGCATGGAACCCGCGGGTGAGAGGGCCCAGCGCTGGAGCGTGCGTGGTCACATGGCCTTGCACTTGGGTGTCTCCCCAACCTTTCCCCAACACATCGACCCTCCTGCTCAGGCCCCCTCGCTTGGCATCACCACTTGGATGCTTAAAAGACGTTTCCAACCTTACACATCCTCAGTTGAGCTCCAGATCTCCCAACCACCCCAACCTACTCTATCCACAGCCTTCCTCGTCTCCATCCTTCTAGTTCCTTGAGCAAAAATTCTGATACCAACTTGACTCTTCTCTCTCACATCCTGCATTCCATCTGTCAGCATAATCCTGTCATCTGCCTCTAAAATATACCCAGAATCTCACCATTTCTTAGCATGGCCTAAACCTCCATCACCTCTCTCCTAAGAGGCTTATTTGTCTCCCTGCCTCTGCCCATGCTCCCCGACGGGTCTGTTCTCCAGAGGAGTCCCAGAGGTTGTACCAAAACCTAAGTCATATCTTCTCATGCTCTGAAACTTTCCCATGGCTCCCATCTCCGTGTTAAAGTAAAATCCAAAGTTTTTACAATGCCCTGCATCTGTCCATCCCTCTGTTCAAGCCAGTGGCCTCCTAAGTGGTCCTTTAAGATATTAGGCAAACTTTCACCTTGGGCCTCTCCATTTGCTTTCCTTTCCCTCTGTCTGGATACCTCCCCAGGTATCTTTGTGGTTCTCCCGCTCTTCAGGTCTTTGCTCAACTGTTGCCTTCTCAGTGTGTCCTGCACTGGTTATTAAGTTACTCTCTCTCAAAACTGGCATTCCCCATTGTTTTTACCCTGCTCTATTGTTTCTTTACTCACAGCTCTGGTCACCTAACACTACGTTTTACATCTTTATTATCAGTGTATTCATTGCCTGCCTTTTCCCACCCCATAAGCTGCAGCAGGGGAGTTTTTTTTCTTATGGGGCGGGGGTGGTATTCACTGATGTATCCCACGTGTCTAAAGCGGTGCCCCATACGGGAGCGTTAAATAAATACTTGCTGAGTGAATACATAAATCAGGTAAATCATTTCGGTGACTCGTGAGCCGAAAAAGTCGCGAATGAGGTGGAAAGCCAACCGTCTCCAGCTCGAATGGTCCGGATAAGTCCCGTACCTCAAACCGTTATTTCTAAAACTGCATTCCCCTTTCCCTGCTTCTTTCCCTCCCCTTAATCCATTTCAGTAAGACTAATTACCTGGGAAATCCCAGCCCATTAACTGATAAAGCTGCCTTCTCTCTCGAACTCAGGACCCGTCAAGGGCCCCATGCCCGTCCTCAAACTCGTCAGGAGAAAGGTCCGTACTTTACCCCTAAAATCTCTGCCCTCGCCCCGCCTCTGCGCACCAGCGGTAAGCGGCCACCTTTACGCCCTCAACCCCACTCCCGCCGCCAAAGCCTAGCCCGGCCTCACATGGTGATAGTGCCTGAGGTCCCAGATCAGCGCCGTCTCCTCCGCGTTGCTGCTGCCTCTGAAGAGAGAGCGACAGGCGGGACTTCCGTTTCCTGCGGCCCACTTCCGTCGGCGCCCGCGCAATCCCAACCTGTGGGGGCGTGGCCTGTTACCATAGCGACCCGCCCAGCCCGGCGCAGAGGTGGGGTAGAAGCATCGCGTAGTATTTCAAGGTCTTTCAGGACCATACGGGGCAGATATACACGATAATGGAGAGAAGAAAACGGATTCGACTCAAATCATTTCGTTGTAGAGCGGCACAGGTTGAAAGAAGAAAAGGACACCCCATTCCAAATGCCCGCCGGCCCCGCCTTTGGGGGCGCGGCCTCCGCGAAGCCAATCGGCTCCTCGCTTCAGGGACGGACACCGCCCCTTTTCCTTCAGGGTCTGTTCTATTACGTGTCTATTGATCTTTCCGACTCCGAGTAACCAATCCTTTGCCTTTACACGGGAGGGGCGTGGACCTGCGCCTAGGTCCAATGTTTTCCACGATCGAACATTTCTCACTGGCTTCCTTTCCTCCGCTGAGGCGGAGCCTACCCCTTTCGCGCTCCCTTTTGGGGTTGTGCAACCCTCAGGGGAACCAACCCTAAAAGCCCCAGGGAGACAAGAAGGCGTGTTCTCGGAACGAGAGTCCCCATTGGCTTTACTGATCGAGGAAGGGTGGGGATGGTGCCGCCTCTCTTATTGTTCATTGGTCCGGTGATTCCATGGGGTGGGATTTGGCTGGGCCTAAACTATCCGCGGTCCCGGACCGGTTTCTGGGCGAAGCTGCCATGCCTTCCGGGGGCCGCGGGCGGTCCCGGCTACGGCTCGGGGAACGTGGCCTCTTGGAGCCACCCTCACCGCCCAAGCGCCGCCTGCTCCCGCGGGCGCACTTCTTGCCCCTGCTTCTGCTGTCCCTGGCCGTGGCCTCGGCGTTCTACACCATCTGGAGCGCCTGGCACCGCCAGACTGAGGAGCTGCCACGGGGTCGGGAGCTGCGGGTGAGGCCGGGCAGGGGCACGGGCACCGCGCGAGCCCTCATTCCCCGCCTCGCCTTCCCTGAGGTCTCAGATTGACGTGGCTGTATCGTATGGCTCCAGCCGCAGGTGCTGCGGTCTCCGTCGTTAGAGCGCATGCTCGTTGCTAACGCACTGAGGCTTCGGGCTTGTTCTGCAATAGGTGGTTCTCCCTAAGAGGAAGGGTCTGGAGTAGTAAGACTGGGGCGTTCTGGGTTCCAATCTGAAAGTCAGCTATTTGGAAGAGTCCTTCCTCTGTCTCGGCCTTGATTTCCCCATCAGGACTGGGGTGGGCTGGACCTGATGGGCTTAGAGGGACTTTTCCTGAGTCCCTCGGCTGGAGGCTCGAATTAGGAAGAAGAACCGGGGTTTCTTAGGGGCGATGGCGTCCGGGTTAGGGACGGAATGAGGGTTGCTCTCACACTCGGCTCTTCTCTTTCCCTATCCTACCCCCTCCCAAGGGCCGGTTGATCGGAAGCCTCCCCGAAGCTCGGCTGCGGAGGGTGGTGGGGCAACTGGATCCACACCGTCTCTGGAACACTTATCTGCGCCCCCTGCTGGTTGTGCGGACCCCGGGCAGCCCTGGCAATCTCCAAGTCAGAAAGGTAAAGGGCCCCACCTCCAACCCCTGACCCTCAGCCTGCCAGGGAATAGGAAATAGGCATTCTGCCCAAGGTCCCCCAAGCAGCTAAAACGCAGAACTGGGGCTCAGACTGGAGCTAATCTGAATCTAGAGTCCCACGTTGGTAACCACTAGGCAGTATTGCCCTTCATACTCCCCCCAAAAGCTTACTGTGTGCTAGGCAATAGCTCTTTGAGGTGAGCACTGATGTAATCCTCACTATGCTGACGGAAACTGAGGACCAGAGCGGTTAGGCATTTTGCCCGAATCCCACAGCTAATAAATGGTATACCTAGGGTTTCAACCCAAATTTCAGATTGGTTCCAGAGCTGGCACAATGACCTCTCTATATTGCTTCCCAGAAAGCATCCAGTCATTTGAAGACTTAACCCCTGAGTTCAGATCCCACCTCAGCCACTTGGAGTGTGACCCTGGACTAGTTTCTTAACCTCTCTGTGCCTCAGTTTCCTCATCTATGAAATGGAGCCATCGACAGTGCCTATTCCTACAGGGTTCCTAGAACAGGGCTTGGCACACAATGAGTGCTATCGAAGAGTGAGCTGGGATTAGTCTTGGCATCGAGAGGCAGGGTCACGACACACCTGGCACTCAGTAGACCCTCAGCAAAAGCGTGTCAAGGGAATGATTTAAACCAAAGTGGGGATTATGAGTCAGCCCAACTGCTCTGCATGGCTCAGGTCACATGGCCCTTCTCCCAACCTCCTCCCCAGTCCCCACCCACCCTCCCACCTCTCTCCTGCCACTAGTTTCTGGAGGCTACACTGCGGACCCTGACTGCAGGCTGGCATGTGGAACTGGACCCCTTCACGGCCTCGACACCCCTGGGGCCACTGGACTTTGGCAACGTGGTGGCCACGCTGGACCCAGGGGCTGCTCGTCACCTCACCCTTGCCTGCCATTATGACTCCAAGCTCTTCCCATCTGGTTCGACTCCCTTTGTGGGGGCCACGGATTCGGCTGTGCCTTGTGCCCTGCTCCTAGAGCTGGCCCAGGCCCTCGACCGGGAGTTGAGTAGAGCCAAAAAGCAGGTGAGGAGTGGGTGGAGGGGTGGGAGTCTGGGGCTGCCTCGACCCTAGTCTAAACCCCCCATCCTTCCCTGCATGGACTTATCTTCCTGCCTCCGTTGCACCACACACAGTCAGTCACAGGGATCTTTCCCTCCTCCCCTGAATGTCAGATCCTGTCTCTCCTCGGCCCAAAGCCCTCCCAGAGCTCCTACCCCATTGCAGGCATAAGCGAGAGTCCTTGTAGGGGCCTCTGAGTTGTGCCCTGTTAATCTCTCAAGTCTCCTCTCCCACCCCTGTCCCTCCTCCCTCCACTCTAGCCACCACCTCCTCAGCGTTCCTCAGACTCACAAGGCTCACTCCTGCCTGAGAGCACGCGCTCCTGCCGTTTGCTCTGGCTAGAATGTGCTTTTCGCAGATACCTTCTTGGCTGGCTCCCACCCTTCATTCAAGTGTCCACTCTGATGATGTCACCCCCTCAGAGATGGTTTCCCAGCCACCCTGAAAGAGCTCCCTGTCACTATCCCAAGCATTTCTGGTGCTTTATGTAGATGTGTTTGTCCGTCTCCCCACTAGACCGAGCTCCGTATAGGCAGGGATTTGGCTGCTTTTGTTTTCTGCTGTATTCCCTGGGCCCAGAAGATTACCTGGTGTAAATTAGGATGTCAAGAGAAATGTGTGGAATGTATAAATGAAAGAAAGCACAAATCCCCTCCTGCTTCTCCCTTGCTCAGGCCCCTTCCGTGGCTCAAACCCCCTGTAACAAAGCCCAAGTCCCTGGTATCTGCTCATCCCTCGGGCCTCTTCACAAAGCTCTCTGGCTCTGGTGCCAACCCTTGGCTGTCTTGCTTCTTGCCTGGGAACACTCTCCCTGCTGCCCCATTTTGCCAGGCCACCTCCAACTCACCTCTGTGCAAACGTCCCTTCCCAGCAGACCCAACGTGCTCCGCAGGCCAGGTTATCCCCAACTCCCTTCCCATGCTCTTTTAGAACCCCAGAGTTCTTGGAAGCATTCGTCCCAAGTGCATTTCACTGCATAATGATTCGTTTGTGGGTCTGTCCCTTCTGCTATTCTGTTTTGTTTTTTCTTTTTTGTCCCTTCTGCTAAAGGAACCTAAAGAATAACAGTAATAATCAGAGCTGCCCCTTCTTAGTTACTGTACACCAGGTGCTATTCTAGGACCTGGATTCGCATCCTACCGTATGATTACAATTGTTATTAACCCCATTTTGTCATCCGATGCCTTGAGAAGTTAGTAACTTACCCGTAACTGCCTGGCTACAAAGTGGCTGAGCCAGGATTTGAATCCAGGCGGTCTGGCTCAGAGTCTGCACTTCTGGCCCCCACCCTCTATGAGTGAGGAGGTTTGCGCTAGTTTGCGCTAGTTTGCGCTATTCAGTGGTGCAGGTGGGCAGGAAATGTGGATGGGTCGAGGCCGAAGGCTGGAACCAAGGCGGCCCTGACCCCCAGCTCCCACAGGAAGCCCCAGTGACTCTGCAGCTGCTCTTCTTGGACGGTGAAGAGGCACTGAAGGAGTGGGGGCCCCAGGACTCCCTCTATGGCTCCCGGCACCTGGCCCAGCTCATGGAGTCTGCACCCCACAGCCCAGGCCCCACCAGGATCCAGGCTATCGTAAGACCAGGGCCCCACGGGGTTCCAGCGAGGGAGGGAGAGGGCAACGCAAAGTTGGCGAGATCCCACCTGGCCTCTCTCCCTAGGAGCTCTTCATGCTTCTTGATCTCCTGGGCGCCCCTAATCCGAACTTCTACAGTCATTTCCCTCACACGGCCCGCTGGTTCCATCGGCTGCGGAGCATCGGTAAGGGTGAGGGTGGGGGCAGGCACCAGCCTGGGATGCGGGAGGGAAAGCCTGGTGGGGCAGGTACCTGTTCTCTGAGGGGTCATCCAGCCTGCCCTCCACCTCCCTACTCTCTCTCTAAGGCACTAGGGCAGAAACACACAAAGATCCCACAGCAATCAAGTGCAGTGATTCCACACAGTCTCTGGGGTCCAATAGCCCTGGCTTTGAATTCGGGCTCTGCCTCTTCCCAGCTGGGTGAACCTGGGCAAGTGGCTTCATCTCCCTGAGCCTCCATTTCCTATCTGTAAAATGGGCACAATAGTAACAATAATAGGGGTATATACCTCCTAGGCTCAGAGGGAATAGAGGAGACTGGGAACACAGTGAGCCTGTGGAAAGGGCTGGCTAATTACATCCTTGTGGGGATGTAAAGATTAGTTCTTTACCCCCAGGCCTCCTGCCCTGCCCTGATCTGTGTGCAGGAGAAACTTTGACCCTGAGGGGGCTGACCCTTGCTCTCTCCCCACCACCTCCAGAGAAGCGCCTGCACCGCATGAACCTGCTACAGTCTCATCCCCAGGAAGTGATGTACTTCCAGCCTGGGGAGCCCCCTGGCTCTGTGGAAGATGACCATATCCCCTTCCTCCGCCGAGGTACTTGCTGGGGGGGAGGGGGGGCAGGGGCTCGCGGCATCCAAGGGAGGACAGGTGGGACCTGGCCCTGGCCCCTTCCTAGGGTCGGGGACTGGGTGGCAAGTTGCTGAACTTCTTTGTGCCTCAACTTTCTCATCTGTAGAATGGGAACACTAAGAGCCCCTATCTCAGAGTTGTTGAGGGGACTGAATGAGCTCATACATGTAAAGACGTTACTTGCACAGTAAGCCGTCAGAGAATGTTAGCTACTATTGTTGGTGCCTCAGTGATCACAGATTCCAGTACTTGTCTTTCAAGGCCCTGGGAGTCCTGCAGATTCACCAGAGGAGCTTCGAAAAATGCCCAGTTGCATTTCAGGTGTTTTTCATTTCACTGAACCACAATCTTGGGTCTCTGCGTTATTTTTACAAAACTCCCAGATGATTCTGTCGCACAGCCAGGGCTGAAGACACTTGGTAGAGGGGTTCAGAACGTAGGTTTTAGAATTGGACAGGCTGGGGCACCTGTGTGGCTCAGTCGGTTAAGCGGCTGCCTTCGGCTCAAGTCATGATCCTGGGGTCCTGGGATCGAGCCCTGCGTTGGGCTCCCTGCTCAGTGGGGAGTCTGCTTCTCCCTCTGCCTCTCCCCTCCAGCTTGTGCTCCCTCTCCCTCTCTCTCTCAAATAAATAAATAAAATCTTAAAAAAAAAAAAAAGAATCGGACAGGCTTGGGTTCTAACGTCTACCACTTACCATTGGTTGACCAAAGGCAGATTACTCAGGCTCTCTGAGCCTGTCTCCTGCATTTATTCTGGAAAACGAAAAGACACATACATACATACGAACACGCCTGTTTGTGTATATTCGTAATCACAGGGTTGGGAGGATTGAATGAGATTAGGTAAAATGCCTTCTCACGCAGTGCATGGCATATATATAGTAAGTGCTAAAAACTGCTTTTAAAATTTTTACTCTCTAATTTACTCATTCCATAAATATGCCATTCCTGACAGTGCCTTTAGTGATTCTTTCAGTGATTATTTCCCAACGCAGGTCCCAGGCTGGGTGTCCGGGATACAGTGATGGGCCATAACCTGCCTGGGTCCTGTCCAGTGGGGGGAGGGGACAGATATTTAGCGAATCTTGACAAACACAGTGGGAAGTGCTCGGAGGATGGGAACCCACCGTAATGCAGGGATTAGGAACACAGACTTGGAAGGCAGGTGGCCCAGCTTCAAATTCTCACTGTGCTGTTTACTTAAGGCAGGACCTTAGGCAAATCACTCTGCCTGCCTCTGTGCCTCGGTGTCCTCCTCTATAAAATAGGGGTAAATATAGGATTATTGTAAAGGATTACTGTAAGGGTAAAATGGTGTGTGTGGCCTTAGCTGAGGGCCTGGAATAGAAGGGCACCTGGCTGGCTTAGTCGGTAGAGCATCCGACTCTTGATCTTGGGCTCGTGAGTTTGAGCTCCACATTGGGCATAGAGATTACTTAAAAAAAAAAAAATTTTTTTTTTTAAATATGCAAGCTATGGGGCACCTCGGTGGCTCAGCTGGTGAAGTGTCTGCCTTCTGCTCGGGTCATGATCCCAGGATCCTGGGATGGAGCCCCATATGGGGCTCCTTGCTCAGTGGGGAGTCTGCCTCTCCCTCTGCCTCTGCTTCGCCCCCTGCTTGTGCTCTCTCTCTCTCTCTCTGTCAAATAAATAAATAAAATCTTTGGGAAAAAAAAGTGCAAGCTATCAATAAAGAGAAAAAGAACCTAATAATAAACCTGGCAATATGAGGTCAAAGACATCTTTCCCTTCTTCTGGTCTTTGCATAATCCACTAGGTTTTGAGTTTCTCTAGTTTGTGTGAGAACAATAGATATTCTGTATATATATTTTTATTTATTTTTTTTTAAAGATTTATTTATTTATTTGAGAGAGCGAGAATGAGAGAGAGAGAGTACATGAGGCGGGGGAGGGTCAGAGGGAGAAGCAGGCTTCTCGCTGAGCAGGGAGCCTGATGCGGGACTCGATCCTGGGACTCCGGGATCATGACCTGAGCCGAAGGCAGTCGCTTAACCAACTGAGCCACTCAGGCGCCCCGTGTATATATATTTTTAAACTAACATGTTGCCCTCACATGCTTAAAAATCGTCATTCAGAGTTCTTCAAGTGCTTTTCTGGGTGGGGGTGAGGCAGCTTTCCCCAGGCCCAGGGCTAGGCTCCTGGCTCAGCCATCGGCCTGACCGAGCTTCCCCTCTCTCCTGCCAGGGGTTCCGGTGCTCCACCTCATCTCCATGCCCTTCCCCGACGTCTGGCACACACCCCACGACTCGGAGGCCAACCTGCACCCCCCCACGGTACACAACCTGAGCCGCATCCTCGCTGTGTTCCTGGCTGAGTATCTGGGGCTCTAGCCTCTGTAGCTGACTCTGAAGGAGAAGTGCCCGGCCAGGACATGCCAAGGACACATGGAACCAGCTCAGGCCAGGATTCCCCGGGGTATGCAGCCTTATCCTTTTCTTTGGTATGGATTCTACTTGCGCTGTGATCGGAAGACCCACTTTCCTTTGACTATCTCAGGCTGTCACTCTTTAAAGACATGGAAGAGACGAGAAGACTGTGGGGGCGGCAGCCGAAGAAATAAGAGCTTGGACCCCGTCCTGGAGGAAGGACTTGGTCTGAAGGTTTGCAGGGGCCAAAGGCTGTTCTCAGTTTTATAGTTGGCACACCTTGGACTGGCATCTGGACCAGCCGCACCACCCCACCAAATCTCTGTGGCTTATGTTTTTAGGTCAATGGATTGCCGTGTGGGGTCCACAGAGGATGTGCTTGGAAGCAGGAACAGAGGAGGTGGAAGCCAATATTTGGGAACTCAAGTCAGCCAGACCCAAGGGCAATGAACCAGTGTTTCTGTGAAACATATTCTACAGAATTAGCATAACTAGATGTTGCATGAAAAAGGGGATCAAAGATGTGGGGTGAGAAATGAGTTTCTTCGTTGTGCACTGTGAATTTTGAAGAGTAAGGCAGAATGCAGTGTTGTTTCCCCAAAGTATTTCAAACGCGGAACCCCTTTATTGGGAAGCTCCTAGAACTAGGGTACCTCAGAAGACACTTTGGGAAACGCTAGGTTTTGACAGTTGGGAGTGTATTCGTGGGAAGAATGAGTAAGACGGAGTCACTGCCAATGAGTTCTACCGAACCATCCCTTCCCTTTCACTTGGGGGTAGAGGAGTGTGAGATGGTGCAACTCACTGCAACTCTAAGTGGTTGCAGGAAGTACTTGAGGAAGTACTTCCCAACTCAGCTACGGTTCAGACTCAACAGGGGGTGCTTATTAAAAAATGCAGACTCCCAGGTTCTACCCCAGACCTGCTGAATCAGAACTCCAGGGAGGGGCTGGGACCCTGTAACGAGCACCTGAGGGAGTCTCCCGATCAGCGAAGTTGGGGACCTGCTGTCCTTAAGGATACAGTGTGGTGCGTTCCCCGCGGCTTAGCAAACCTACTCAAAAGAAAACCATAAAATAGGGGGCGCCTAGAAAGGGAGACCTCCGCCTGGCCCCATGCCTGCTGGTTTTGTGACTTAGATGGAGCCCTGGTAGGCAGCGGGGAGGCCAGGCCAGGATGGAGAGTGTGCAAAGGTGAGCACTGGCCTTCCAAGCCAGCTTGGGGCTGGAGAAGACTCAAGAGAACTCACAGGCTGAAGCTCAGGATCTCGAGGGAGGATAAACAGAAGGTCCTCGTTTGTAGTCTTCCACTGTAACTGACATGTATTGGGCCCCTACTGTGTGCACTTGACACGTATCAGCTCATGTAGTCTCCGCCCAAGTCCTGAGGAGGGTACAATTTCCGTTCCTCTTTTGCAAAGGAGGCGGGCGAGGGCTGAGGGTTATGACCCAGGTGTTTACAGAGCCCACATGCTCCCCCCCAGCTGCAACTCCTAACCTCATGTCCCATCTCCCAGAGATCACCTGTGCTGGACCAACAGATGGCAGCGAGTAGCTCCTCCTGAGGCTTAACTGACTGCAAAGTAGAGCAAGCAGCGTTGGTGGGGGAGGGGGGAGACTAACGACCTCTTAGAGGTGGAGGTGGCGTAAGTCCTGTGTTTAGAACCGGAAATTGACAGACATCAACAGCCAGGGCGGCAAGGCTCCCCACCCACAGGGACGGCTCCTGTTTGTTCATTTCTTGTGTGGCAGGCACAGTGCCAGGCACGTGAGAGCACCCCATCTCCCCTTCAACTCACAGCCACCCCAAAAGTAGGTGACACCATCATTTCTGTGTTCAGAGACAGGGAGCCATGTGCTGTTACACCCCAGGCTCTCGATGGGTCCCTGAAAGACCTCCCGCTTGAGTACTGCACACCAGGCACTGGGCAAGGGGGCCTGATGCCCACTTTCCCTCTGGAATCTGGGGCAGGGATCACTAGTCCATTTCACAGATGAGGCTGCTGCTTGGTGGGTCGTTTTCCCCAGCTCCCATCTGTCCCCCAAACTTCACACTCTGACGGGCCCCCTAGGTTTATCTGACAAGCACAACGCCTGAGCACTCTAGGTGCTGACGTCTCACAAATCGATCTTTTTGTAGGGACTGTCAGGATTCTCATTTTTCACCTGAAACAGCTTCAGAGAAATCAATAGCTGCAGATCACGTGTCTAGGTGCACTTTTCTTTAAAATTAATCCTGCTTTGGGGGGCCTGGGTGGCTCAGTCGTTAAGCTTCTGCGTTTGGCTCAGGTCATGATCCCAGAGTCCTGGGATCGAACCCCACATAGGGCTCCCTGCTCAGCAGGAAGCCTGCTTCTCCCTCTCCCACTCCCCCTGCTTGTGTTCCCTCTCTAGCTGTCTCTCTATCAAATAAATAAATAAAAATCTTAAAAAAACAAAAAAAATTTGCAAGAAAAAAAATAAAATTCATCCTGCTTACAATGCATTGGGCTTATCGGTGTCACTCATCAGTCTGGAATTCACAACCATCCTGTCTTAAAATATTATCTTTGCACTATTGTCTCTTCTGATTCTAGAAGGTCAACTCAATGTTATAGATATTCTCACTCTTATTTTCCATTAACATTTTTCTTTCGTATTTTGTTTTTGTTTTTTGTTTTCTGCCTCTGTGCTACTTTTTGGACCTAGCTCTAGTTCAATCTTTTTTTTTTCACTTGTGTCTGATTTGCTGTTGAGCCCAGCCACTGAGTCTTTACTTTGGGTTCCTGTGTCTGGGGCTTTCTCCCTTTCCCATCTGCTAGGCCATTACTTAGTTCTGGGCTGCCTGCAGAGATTTCCAAGCTCTTCTACACATTTGCCCTGCTCACCGAAAGCAGAGTGATCCTGCGGAACCTTTCATAAGCCATAAGCGCAGAGTATACCCCCCTTTCCAAAAGTTTGTGTCCCGCCACTGCACTTTCACAAAAGACCTACCTTAAGGGGCACCTGGGTGGCTCAGTTGGTTAAATGTCTGCCTTCAGTTCAGGTCATGATCCCAGGGTCCTGGGATCGAGTCCCACATTGCGCTCCTTGCTCGGCAAGAAGCCTGCTTCTCCCTCTGCCTGCCTCTCTCCCTGCTTGTGCTCTGACAAATAAAATTAAAAAAAAAAAAAAAAAAAAGACCTACCTTAGTACCTGTTCTCGCTAACAGAGAGATCTTTTTTTTTTAAAGATTTTATTTATTTATTTGAGAGAGAGAGAGCCCATGAGAGGGGATAGGGTCAGAGGGAGAAGCAGACTCCCGGCCGAGCAGGGAGCCCGATGCGGGACTCGATCCTGGGACTACAGGATCATGACCTGAGCCAAAGGCAGTCGCTTAACCAACTGAGCCGCCCAGGCGCCCCAACAGAAAGAGATCTTAAGAGGATTTTCACTTGTTTGAAAAAAGCCGTTATCGTACTAAGGTAGATCTTTTGTAAAAAGCGAAGTGTTGTAATTTGAGCTTTTGGGAAGTGGGGGAGACCCGTGTTGTAATCCGTGACTAGTGGGTTCACCGTCCAAAGCCCTTGTGAGTCTGCTTTTGCTCTGTTGTCTCTGCTGGTTCTTGCTCGTGGTGTTTTATTTCCATGCACGTTGGGTGACTTGACTGTGGGCTGCTCATTGTCTGAAAATCATTTGTGGGGACTCTAGATGACAGTTCCTTACCCCAGAGGATTTATGCTTTGTTCCTGCCAGACAGCTCAGCTCAGAAGTAGCCCGCACACACGGATGATGCCACAAATCTGAGCCGAGGGCCAGCCTGTGTCCACAGTCTCAGGGGCCACTTTCTTCTCTCCTTTGGTGTTGTGCCCCCCTCAGTATTTAGAACATCTTCTCTGTAGTCTTTTGGGCCATTATCCTTACCTGAGCTTGTAGAGCTCCTATTAGATTGCCCACCTTGGCCTTGACTTCCACCTGCTTGTCCCAATAAGACTACAAATTGGAAATTGTCGGCACAAGCAAATGCCCTTAGAGCAAAAGTGGCTTCAGGGTCCCATGTCCCTTCCCCTGAAATTACTGGCATGGTGTATCCTTTAACTGTATTATATTGGCTAGTTGATGCTTTTATGATTTTTTTTACTACCTCTCCCTCTTTTTCAGCAGGAGTCCAAATAATGTGGCCCCTCCCTCCGGAGAAAACTGAAATCCAACAAAGCCAAGCCAAGAGTCAAACCCAGGTCTCTCTGATTCTAAAGTCTAAGTATTCAATAACTACTATGATACATCCTAGTCTCTACAGTCATTTTTTTAAAAAAGATTTTATTTATTTATTTGACAGAGACAGCGAGAGAGGGAACACAAGCAGGGGGTGTGGGAGAGGGAGAAGCAGGCTTCCCGCCAAATGGGGAGCCCGATGTGAGGCTCGATCCCAGGACCCTGGGATCATGACCTGAGCCGAAGGCAGACCTTAACGACTGAGCCACCCAGGCGCCCCGTCTCCAGTCATTTTTATTCCCTGATAAGAATGTCAGAGACTGTGGGGGCGCCTGGGTGGCTCAGGTGGTTAAGCAACCCACTCTTGATTTTGGCGCGGGTCATAGGATTGAGCCCCGTCTCCGGCTCCGTGCTGTGTGGGGGGCCTCCTTGGGATTCTCTCTCTCCCTCTGCCCCTCTAATAAATAAATCTTAAAAAAAAAAAAAGAAAAAAAGTCAGAGACTGTTAATTACCTCTCACTATCCATTCTTTCCTCTTCCTTTATACTTGAATTTTTTAAAATGACTTAATTCCCCTTTTTTATTTAGTAAATAATTGACTGTTTTGAAGCTTTAATTACAAGGATCTTTAGTTCTTTTTGTTGGGCATATGTACCCAGCTGAAAAACTCCATGTCCCAGTCTCCCTTGTAGCCCTTCCATATGGCTAAAGCTCGGACCAGTGAGATGTACATATAAGTATAGTGTAGTACTTCTCAGAGGAAGGAGCCTTCTCCTCCTGCAAACTGGTGATGGTCAGAGTTCTAGCAGATCCACGGCCAAAGGACAGTGAGCCAGAAGCAGCCTGGGTTCCTAATGATTTCAGAGCCACCATTATCTTCCCGCTCAGGATTTCTAAAGAAATGAAAACTATCTTGTTTAAGCTACTACTATTTTGAGGTTTTTGAATCCAAACTGACACAGATGAAGAGTCAAAAATAATCTCGAGCTAAGGGACTTGGCGAAGGATCCTTCTCCCAATCTTTCCTGGCTCACCATGCAGTGCTCCGTGGCTCCCTTCTCTCCCCAACCCCCTCCCTAAACAACACACAAACCAGTCTGGGCCCAGCCTTATAAATACTGATTTTATAGAATGGACCAATTCAAAACTGGTCAGATGCCACACACCAGAAGCTTCCAGAACCACAAGGATGATAAAACCAAAAACCAAAAAACCCCAAATGGAACAAACGAAAATACCCCAGACCAAACTGCTTGAAAATCAAGGTCTCTGTTGACCAAAGGATTCTAAAGAAACACATATGGCTGGGGCTGGAGAGACCCCAATGCCTGAATGAGTACCCAGAGTGGAAGGAAAAACAACCAAGAAATTCAAAGCCACAGTCCCTGCCCACCGGCCCCCCACGCTGTCAAGAGCGAGGCAAAGGGCTTCACAGCTTTTTTTTGCGGGGGGAGAAGAAGTGATGGCAAGCTTTAATAATGGGAGGAGGGGAATCTTTATACTTCAACTTTTTTTTTGTTTTTTTTTCTCTTCCCCTTTGGGGGAAGTGAAGAGACTGGTAGCTTTAGGTTAAGGAGAAAACAGTGATTTTTATTGTTTTAATGGGGGAAAACGTCTAGAAATGGCAGGCTGCCACGAAAAGTGCCACATCTGATCTGTGATCTCACTGGCCAACAATTCCTAAAGGAGGTGAGCCCCAGTGCGGCAGGTCAGAAGCGGTACCGACCTTGTGCCCTGCAGCCTCTAGGGAGAACACAGCTCCAGAAACAAATAACTGGGGGGAGAGGGGGCAGGGGGCCAGAATGGGGGAACCCTTGCGGAGTACCAAAATTAGCTGCCTTCTGCTCCCTGCTGGTGGGTCCCTGGGGTGTAGAGTGGCAGGGAGGGGGTTGGGGCTGAATGGAGAAGTTGAGATGCTGATAAAAAACACCCTACTTGAGGGTCCACGGCCCTGGGTCTGAAGAGTAGAAAACCAATAGGCGTCGGTCGATCAGAGTGCTTTCTCAATCATCCCCCTGACCCCCATCTCAGTTCTGGAGGGGGATCAACGCTGCCTGGACTGGGGGTACGGGCTGGTGACCCAGTCCTGGCCCTCGGCTCCCGGGGGGGGAGGGGGGAGGGATGGGCATGGTGGGCTCTCCCCCCCCCTCCCCCGGCTTCACCTCCCTTCCTCCCGGCCAGCCCGGCCCCCGCTGCCGCCACCACCACCACCGCCCCCGCCCCCGCTGCCGCCGCCGCCCGGCCCATTGCAGGGCAGCACCCAGTTGTTATCGTGCAGACCCAGGCGGCAGCCGGGCGTCTCGCGGTCGGCTCGGCGGCAGCACATCCAGTAGGAACGTCCATAAGGCAGGTCGTGGTGGTAGGGCTTGGGGTGCCAGCGGCAGAGCGACACGTCCCCCTTCTCGTATCTCTTGCGGCACTGCTTGCAAGGGTCATCGCGATAGAGCGGGTCGCGGCTCCAGCGCGAGTCTGTGGCCCGCACGCCGAATGCCTCGATGATGCCCTTGAAGTGGTGGCAGGTGCACTTGAGGGCCGCCAGGGCCCGCGTGGGCAGGAAACTGAAGATCTTCACCAGCACATGCTCGGGCAGCAGCAGCATGTACTGTCGCGGCTCCAGCAGCCGCTGAATCTTGAAGCGAATCTCCAGGAAGTCGTGGGACACGTGCCGGTAGAGGCGGCACAGGGATGTGTCTGCTGTGCCCTCGGCATCGTCCGGGCCTGGCGCGGTGGCCGGGGAGTCGGCCGGGGGTGGCTCAGGGGGCCCGTCAGGGCCGCGGGACTGGAGGAAGAAGAGCTGGCCTGGTGGGGGTGGCTCCTCGGGGCTGACCGTCAGGCACACCGTCTCCTCTTTCACGTTCTTGGTGCCGTCCTTGCCAAAGAAGATGCACTCGTCCACCACCCCTGTCACCACCACATCCACGTGGAAGCCCGATGCTCCGCAGTCCCGGGCAGGGGGCGGAGGGGGGGCTGGGGGAGTGTCCTCAGGCCTGGCAGGGACCGGTGTCTCCCCCTCACTGGCCTCATCCGCCCGAGCCAGAAGGAACTCCACATTGCTGGGGAGGGCATCCCGGGAGGGGCTGATGAGCTGGTACAGGTCGCAGGTGATCTTGTCCTTGGCCCGGGCCCCGGGGCCTGGGCTGCCGGGGTAGGCACAACCGGGCCGGCCCCCGCTCCCGTTGGGCAAGCTGCCGTCGGGGGCGCGGGGCTCTCGGCCATTGGAGATACGGAAGGCGATGCGTACCTCCCCGGGGCCTGGCCCAGGCCGCTCCTCTTTGCGGAGGCCTTTGGCTGGAGGGCTGTCCCGCTGGGCCTCGAAGTGGGCCACCGCCTCAGCTACCCGGCTGCAGTCCCCACCACCGGACCGTCGCTCGGACCCCAGCCCCTTGGCAGGCCCGCCCTGCTCGGCTGACACGAAGACCACAGGTGCTGGGGTGCCGGGGCGTGGGTAGTTCTGCAGGGCCAGGGCGGCCCGCTGTTCCACCAGCGCCACCATCTCAGCCACAGAGAGCAGGTCGACGTCCTCGCCAGCCGAGGCTGGGGCCCCCTCAGCGGCAGGGGGCACCTCTGGGCCCCCTGGGTCCGGGGGAGCCTTTGTAGGCTCAAGACAGCGCCTCCTCCGCTTGGCCTTGGAGCTGTCACTGCCCCAGTGCCCCTTGACCTTCATGGAGCTGGCCCGGCTGCCCCCACCACACTGGTGGGCCACAAAGAAGGCCACCTTCTCCTTTGTATTCCCGGGCTTGATGACGTACCACGTGTCCAACAGGACTCGCCCCTCATCACCAGCAGCAGCTGCTGAGAGGAGCGGGGCCGGCTGGGAGGCAGGGGCCTCTGTGGCCAAGGTGGGCGGGGTGTTCTCGGAGTGGGCAGCCCCGTGGTCTGGCTCAGCCCCGCTGCCGGGCTCTGGGCAGGCCGCCGGCTTGAGGGCTGCAGTAGGCGGGCGAGGCTGGTTCTGTGAGTAGGTGCCGAAGGGCCGGGGGCACCACAGCTGGAAGGGCAGGAGGCTGCCTCGGTCCATCCTGGGGAATGGTAGCAGACGGGCAGGGGTTCACCGCATTTCAGGACCTGGGTGGTCAGGGGAGGTTCCACAGGCCACCTAGAGATGGGGGAGAGGAGGTTGGGGAGCTGGGGGGAGGGAGAGCCTGCCCTTCCCCTACCACCCCAACCTCAACTCCTGCGGGGACAGACCAAATGAGCCCACTGAGATCTCTATTCCTGCCCCACTGCACAGGCGAGCAAATGGAGGGTTGCAGAGGGAATGAGAGCTGGTCTTATTTAAACACCCAGAATGGGGGCGCCTGGCTGGCGCAGTCAGCTGAGGGTCTGACTCTTGGTTTCTGCTCAGGTCATGATCTCGGGGTCGTGAGACTGAGCCCCAGCATGGGGTCGGCCCGAGGTTCTCTCCCTCTCCCTCTGCTTCTCCCCTGCTGGCTTGAGCCTAGGCTCACTCTCTCTTTCTTTCTAAATAAAATTTTTAAATAAATAAATAAAACACCCAGAATGTAACTAAAGCTGGCAGCTTATTCCAACCCCGCAGGTCATACTCCACGGCCCAACTGCTTTCACTCACGATCCAGAGGCCTCCTCTGCCATAACCCTGACCTTAAGTGAAAGTACCCACTAATAGCTCCTCCTTCTTCCATTTGCTCACCCAGTAGCCAGTTCCTGAAAAGACAAGAAATTCCCAGCCCTGCCCATAGCTACAGTACTTGAGCCCACGGAGGAAGGAATGAGGTAGGCTGGGCAGGGGAAGAAAATGTGAGGTCAGAGCCAGCCAGGCCCTTAAGAAATCGGCTCTTTGGGGTGCCTGGGTGGCTCAGTCGGTTGAGCGTCTGACCCTTGGTTTTGGCTCAGGTCGTGATCTCAGGGTCGTGGGATCGAGCCCCGCGTTGGGCTCCGCACTCAGCACGGAGTCTGCTTATCCCTCTCCCCCGCTCATGCGCTCTCTGGCGCTCTCTAAAATAAATAAATAAATAAAATCTTGAAAAAAAAAAAAAAGAAAAGAAAAAAGAAATCAGCTCCTCACTTCGTTTGAGTCCCCAGGCTCCCTGAGAATCTCTCAAAGCTGTGTATCCTCTACCAGAAAAATGCACCCACTTGCACAAGATGGTGTAGGTAACGAATGCCCTTAGCACAGGCACAGATCTCTAGGATAAGAAGGCCTGTTCTCGTCTAGTTTCCTCTTCAAGTTGCCCACAGGTAGACCGAGTGGGGAAGGGTTACTTGTCATAAAACCAGGCCCTCAAACTTGGTTTCAGGACTTTTTAATTCAGGGCTCTCTTAAAAATGACCATTTTAGGGGCACTGGGTGGCTCAGTCATTGGGCATCTGCCTTTGGCTCAGGTCGCGGTCCTGGGATCCTGGGATCAAGCCCCGCATCGGGTTCCCTGCTCAGCGGGAGGCCTGCTTCTCCCTCTCCCACTCCCCCTGCTTGTGTTCCCCCGCCCCGTCAAATAAATAAATAAAATCTTTAAAAAAAATTACCATTTTATTTTGCAACGACTTTGTGCATGACCTAATCTGGAAGCCATTCTGCTAATGAGTCTGACATGACCACTCTCCACTGCAGGCCCAACAGGTAGCATATTCCTCCATCTCTATCATTCCCTGGGCCCATCTCCCTCCAGTCATCTTGAAACCAAAATACTCTCCAATCCTCCAATCTTCCACATGCCCATAGACCAGGGGTAAGCAAATCACGGCCCACTGCTGGTCTTTGCCAATGAAGTTTTACTGAAACATGCTCATCTATGTATGGCTGCTTTCACGCTACAATGGCAGAGTAGTTGCAACAGAGGACATATGGCCTTGCAAAGCCTAAAATACTCATTATCTGGCCCTTTATAGTAAAAGTCTGCTGACCCCTGCAGTACAGACTGATCCCACCTATAGATGGCTAAGTTACCATCCACCAATACATCTAAATGCCCAGGGATAGACACAAACACAGCAAAAGCCATTTTCTATAGATATTATCTCTCTACAACTTGGCTACCCCCTGAAATCCTCCAATCAGTTCCTACCCTTATCTCCAAAAGATAAATGCCCTCCTCCAAATATCCAGACACTTTCAAATCTTAATTTAAACTTCCAAACCTATAAATATCCCCTCCGGCACAGAAGGACCCAGTCTCAAGGAATGCTTCCCAAATCCCATGTCCACCAAGAGCTCCAACATACACAGCAATCGCCCAACCTCACACATGCCCCCAAAGACCAGTCTCCTGAAATCCTATACTCCCCTTCAAACACTTTCTAAATCTCCCCATGTATTTCCTAATTCCTAACAGAAGCCCCGCTAACTGCAAAAAAAAAAAAAACTCACAAAAACATAAAAGCTCCCTAACACATAAGACTAATCCCAAACCATATTATTTCTCAAAGCCCAAATAACCCCCAAACGCTCCCAAAGAATCCTCACCAATGACACGTGCTCACTGCAGGGCTCACTGGAGTTTATTAGGTACAGTTCTAACCATTCCCGCTAATCCTCCCCAGTCCCTTTGAAGCAGGTAGTGTATTAATCCCAGGGTCCAGATGAGGCACAGAAAGGTTTAACCCCACATCGCGGGTCAGACAGGTAGGAAGGACTCGAGAAAGGCAAAAGCCCAGGCATTCTGGCTCCAGACTTGGGGCACCCCTGGATTCTTTACTCTGCTTTTAAGTCTCCCCATGAGCTTCCCAAATCACATACCCACCAAACATCCCCAACTGCAAAGAAGACCCCTACAATACAACGGAAACGTCCACACGACATAAAAGAACCCAAACCCAAGCCCCAAGGCTCCCCCTAAGCTCAAGGGAACCCCAAGTATCCCCCACACCCACGCAAACACTTCAGGCCCCAAAATACTCCTTAACTGCAAAGGGAGCCCCGCAATTTTGTAACCGCCCCTCCAACCCGCCAACCCACTCAGACGACCCTCGAAACCTAGACACGCCCCCAAAGTACCCTCACTGGTGAGCCCTGCCCCCCCAGCGGCGGGAGAGGGTGGCAGCACACACGCATGCGCACGAGAGAAGAGGGCCCGCCCCCTCGCTCCTTCCCTCCAGACTTCGCTCGGACAGCCGCGCGACTGGTTTCTCTCCGCCCCTTTGTTGACAGACCCGCGCGTGACGCCCCCAGCCAATGAGCGGCTGCCGTTCGGGGCCATGCCCGTATAAGGAATGCCTTGGCGAAGGGGCCTAACTTCGAAAGAGGGAGGAGTAGGCGAGAGGTGAAGGGGGTGTGGAAACAGTGGAGTGTAAGAGAGCGTGGAACAATTCCCAACTCCTTGCTAAAACGGAAGACCAAGGCCCGGAGAGAGGCCAAGGTATTCAAGGAGAGGTTTATTACACGACGTTCCCTCTAAACAGGAGCCCTGATTGACAGTTGAGATTTAAAGGACCAAGCAGCTCCCGGATTGAGACTCGAGGGCGGAAGGAAACCGGCAGAAAGATAAGCGCCCAGGTTTGGTTGGGAACCCTGAAGACCGAGATTCCCTGGGGAGAAACTGGGCAGCAGAATCACTTCATCCTTGAAGAACAAATGGCCGAACCCTGCGACGACTCCCTCGGCACTGAGTTCAGCCTCTGGGCTTGGCATCGAGGCTCAGGCTGTGTGGCCAAACGCACCTTTCCGTTCAGCCTGTCCAACCAAGCGCCCCAAATCGTACTCAGACTTAGTACAAGAAAAGAATATCAAATACCCCGATAATGCTTTTTAAATATTAATTACCTGTTAAAATGATAATACTTAGGATATAATTTAGTTAAAAATAAAGTACTTAAAATTAACTTCATCTCTTGACTTCTTAAGATTGGCTACTATAAAATTTTAAACTATACATACGGCTCGCATTATATTTCTATTGAACAGCGCTGGGCTAGATCCTTTCAATGCCAGGCCCATTCAGGAGACACCCAAAGGGGGCTCCACTGTAGGCGGTCACCTGTCCCTCCACCACCCTGCCCCAGCCTTGCCTGCTTCCAACCATCCTGCAAGTCTCGGCCAGAAGGGTCTTCTTATAGCACAAACCTCACCCCGTCCCTACCCTGTTCAAAAACTACCATGACTCCCCACTGCCCTTAGGAAAAAGCCCAGGTACCCAGCAGGACAGGTGGTCCACACAGAACTGGTGTGAGTTGGAGCAGGGATGTGAATCCAGGAATCTGATTCAGGACTGCTGTGCTCTATTATTGCTTTGCTATATATTCTCTGGCGTTCTAGCTCAGCCATTCCCTCCAAGAAGCTGAAACCCCTAGGCTGGGTCAGGCTCCACCTCTGGGCTCCCACCCACATTGGCCTCCTGGCTTTTTATTCCTCTAGAGTCACCAAGCTCTTCCCTTCTGTGGTCTTTGCATTTGCTGTTCCCACTAACTGGAATGCTCTCCCCCCAGATCTCCACATGGCTCAGTTCCTTATTTCATTTGCATCTTTGCTCAAATGTAACTTTAACAGAAAGGGCTTGCCCGAGCTTCCTTCTTGGAAACCTGCCACCTACCCAGAGGAGGACCTCTGGGTTCCCAAGTCCCAGCCCTGCCCACTCGTTATCACTGTTCTAGGGATGCATCTGGTCTCCTCTACGGGACAGTGGACCCAGCAGGGCCAGAACAATCAGGGTCATCATGGTGTCCCCAGCCACACTGCCCAGCATGGGACTAAATGGATGGATCAAAGCTCCCTCCCCTGGAGCAACAAGTCCTAAACTTTGTGAGGCCTGGGTGTGAAACAGAGTTTCACACCAAGGTTCTGTCTGGGTCCTAGGTCACTGGGGCAGAATTTTCTAACTTCCCACACACTGAGCCCTCCACGAGGCCCTCCATTAGGTCAGCTTTCAGAGAATGCTCCATGAAGATCCGTTTATTGTAAAACATCAGGACCCAGAAAGACTGAAAATTTTTTTAAAAATGGAAAAAGACCAGGCAAATACAAACCAAAAGATAAATAGAAGAGAGACAACATCATTTAAAAAAACAACAAGGGGGGGTGTTTGGCTGGCTCAGTCGGTAGAGGATGCAACTCTTGACCTCGGGGTT